ACGGAGGGGGAGGGGCCTGACGACATGTACCCAGAACCCCCCGCGACACTGTTTTGCATCATTCAGGCATTGGGATCTCAACCCAGAATTCCAATGGGCGGCCGAGACTGCAGGAACTGTGGGATAGCTACCCATAGTGCAATGCTCCGGAAGTCGATGCTAGCCTCGGTACTGTGGACGCAGTCCGCCGACTAGAGCACTTAGAGCATTTTATGTGGGGACACACACAATCGGCTGTATACAACCGATTTCTATAAAACCGGCTTCTATAAATTCGACCTAATTTCGTAGTGTAGACATACCCTTAGTGCAAATCTCTAGTAGCTTTAGGCTACAATCTGACCTGCATGCACAAATGACAAATCAAGGCAAATCTCTGTGTTTTGTGAATATTGTGGATCTATCCCTTACATTATACCTACGCTCTACCCCACATTAACGGGTTTTGGTGGGAGTGGTTACTAAAGGCACATTTAGTCAAATACATGGTGTTTTTCAACCAAGAGCTAGCTCCTGATATAGTCCTCTAAAATAGCGTGGGCTTGTTTTGAATGAATTACAATTTTATAAATGAAGCTTTTTCTTTTTTATAAGCCAGGGGACAGCTCAGCTCCTGTGAAGGAAAAACTCAGGGGCCTAATTTTCAATTCACAAAGGTCCATTTCCACTACCATGACAGTATAACGAGATCTTAATATGGGTTTAAATAAATCCTTGTACCAGAGTGGTGTAAAGGGGCCTTAGCGTAAATGAGAATCAGAACCTCAAGTTCAGGCTCAGAGTTTTCACCACTTCACTGCCTCATGGGGTTCAGATAGGCCTGCCCTGATGACTCCCTCTGTCCAGAACATGGGCAGAGGTTTCAGAGCCTGAGATTTGCAAATCTCCCAAGATCCACATGGATTTCAGTCAATCCATGAAGGCTTTAAACCTACAGAATGCTTCCTTGTCCCTGAAGCTCTTCATAGATATCATGACTGCCTGGCTTGTACATGAGGGATGCTCTAGCTGGTTCCTCCACTGTCCCTAACATGACTCTTGGGTGGCAAAAGTTTTATACAGCACAACGAACAGCAAGTAAAATATTTCTGAGTGACATCGTTATCTTGACTTCTGTGGGGGACAATGCAACAGAGAGTTACTTTTCTCAACGTTCTAATCATCCCATATTCTTTGTACCAACATACATTCAGAGTTACTGTTGGGAGAGCAAATTGCGCTGTTGCTTTCTCTTAGGTTTTATGATTTTTTTTGCTTATATTTATTTCAAAAACTTCAGCTTCTCTTAAAGTATCTAACAGTTGAATTTGATTTAATATCTGCAGTGTCTCTTTTCTATGTGTTTGGGTATCGTGTGAGGGTTCCAATCCTGCTTGTGAAGGCAAAATGGGAAAACACAATAACAAGCCTCGCTTAAGAGTTTTATCTTACATGACAATAACCCTAGGCCTATATTTATGAAGAATAAGCTTTCAGTGCGAAATTAAACTAAGCTGTAAAGCACAGTAAAACCCAAATCATCTATACTGAGAGAATTCCTCCAGTGTTTCTTGTTCTTAAATGGTAATTAATAGAGACAATACTAAAACCAAAAGGAAGCTAGTGATATCCTGTTCTTTTTCATTGCAGCAAGGAGTCTGGTTTGGTAAACTCCATGTCAGATTGTGTAATTTAATTATTGAGCACAGAATCTGAATAAACATAAAGACATGACGAATAGCTTTCTCTTATAATTCCATTACTGAGTAACAGACGGGTGTGGCTGTTAAAACTGAAATATTTGTTTTCTTCTGTTTCAGAATGTTAAAAATTTAAATGAACTCTTATCCTGCCTCCTTTTCTTACCCTGTCTTTTCATTTCTTTCTAGATCTAAGTCATAGAAAAATCAAAGTGATGCGTGCCACTGGTTTGGATCATATGCACACAATTCAAAAAGAAAAAGGTGACTTTTAAAAATTTCCCACCAGCAAGTGGGAGAGGTGTAGGCAAGTGTGGATTTAAGCACAAAATGGAAAATCCAAGCACAAGAAAAGACCTGTTATCATCATATAAAGATGTCCATATGCAATAATTACTGGTCAGACCATCCACACGCTACATTACTTAATGACATCCAAAGATTGCTGCACTTTCTGAACCAATAGCAGCTATACAGTGACCAGCGTCGTTTCTGAATGGAAAAATTGGCCCAACCACTGGTGAATGGCACGCAGTAGGTTTCCCATTGAACTACACAGCACAACAATGATCCACATTGGTAAATCATTCTGTGTGCTTTTCAGTTCTTATGCATATCCTATACTGGACAGCTTCCATTCATTCTGACACCCAAGGCAAACAAATGTAAGAGATGAAAGTGAAAATGCATATGTTAAATCCCAAATGGAAGCAGATGAGTGTGATATATATACATAGAGTTGCTTAGCAACAAACATGTTTTGGCCACAGGAATTGTGACATTAGTCAGAGACGGGAAAGAGAAGCTATTCTGCACTACTTGTCTGTCTCTGTAGAAGCTTCATAAGGCTCCTTCTTTATTTCTTTTAAGGCAGAAAATAAAAGACTATTGTGGACATTTGTTTATGCTATTAATACAACAGACTCTGTGACAATACGTCTTTTCCTTGAGTGGAAAAATGTTTTCATTCAAGATATCTATTGTAAAGATGTATGCCTCAATCTAGCCACACTCATCATGGACACCTCCTAAATGGTTCAACTTAGCATTCTTGATCTCTAGAGTTTATTGGAAAATTTCAAATTTCAAAATTTTTAAATAAAAACAAAGGACATCCTTTTTTGGGCATAAAAATCCCATTTTAGCTCAGGTAATAGAAAAATTTGTTTTATTAACATTTCACATTCAAAGCACTGTGTGTTTTCAGAAGGCAAAATAAAATGTAAATAGTTAACACTTCTGTGACTGTTAGTTATGTATTATTCTCATTGTACAGACAGTGAGGCATAAACACCCTCATAAAAATGCCACAGTGTTGCATAGCATTGGCCTTCAGCATTGCAGTGTCACTCCTGTAAGCAACAGTGTTTCAGACGCTTAAGGCACTGTGATGCTAATAGGGGAGAGTCAGCCAGCAGCAGAGGTGTGATGAGATGTCCTAGGGCCCAGTAATGCAAGAGCACATGTAACTCCTTTTGAAACAAACGAGTGCTAGGCATGTAAAGCTATCAGATAATCAAGTACCCCTGGCTTCCAGCAACATCCTCACCCCATAAAATCATGGCACCTTTCACGTATAAAAAGACATTATGTTTATTTTGGGGGTGGGGTGTCAAGCAAACTGTCACATTATTGCTACACAAAGCACACTGGAAACATTTTTCAGTGTTTCCTTTAATTTAAGGTAATGAATGAATTTATTTTATTTGGCAGGAAGAGAAATCTGATCCTGAGTGAGGGGAGCAGAACATTTGAAGCATGCACTTTGAGTTCCTTGCAAAAAAAAGAAATGGACTTTCCCACAAGATTAAGAAATGGAGAGGAGCATACAATATGTGGGAGAACTCAAATGCTCTTAGATTTAGGAAGTGAAGTGTGTGCGGCTTGAGAAAGGTAGGAGAGTTGAATGCTACACCAGAAGAACGTAAGAACATATGAATGGCCATACTGCGTCAGACCAACGGTCCATCTCGCCCACTATCCTGTCTTCCACAACAGTAGCTAGCGCCAGAAGCTTCAAAAGGAATGAACAGAACTGGGCAACTTTCAAATGATCCATCTGTCATCCAGTCTCAGGCCTTGGTTACACTTGCGAGTTGCAGCGCTGTAAAGCCGCCCCCAGCGCTGTAACTCACTCCCCGTCCACACTGGCGAGGCATTTGCAGAGCTGTATCTCCTTGGTTGCAGTGTGGCCACCCAATGCTCTGTGAATGGCCTCCAGAATTATTCGACAGTATCCCACAATGCCTGTTCTAGCCACTCTGGTCATCAGTTCAAACTCTACTGCCCTGGCCTCAGATAACCAACCATGTGACCGACCCTTTACATTCCCCGGGAATTTTAAAAATCCCCTTCCTGTTTGCTCAGCCCGAAGTGGCGTGGAGTGCTATCAGCAAATCTTTCCAGGTGACCATGCCTCCACGCGCCAAGCGAGCCCCAGCATAGAGCAATGGTGAGTTGCTGGACCTCATCAGTGTTTGGGGGGAGGAAGCTGTCCAGTGCCAGCTGCGCTCCAGCCGTAGGAATTACGATACCTTTGGGAAGGTATCAAAGGACATGATGGAAAGGGGCCATGACCGGGACGCCCTGCAGTGCAGGATTAAAATCAAGGAGCTGTGGAGTGCCTACTGCAAAGCCCGCGACGCAAATGGCCACTCAGGTGCTCCCCCCGTGACCTGCAGATTCTACAAGGAGCTGGATGCG